TTTTTTTTTTTTGAGACGGAGTTTCACTCTTGTTACCCAGGCTGGAGCGCAATGGCGTGATCTCGGCTCACCGCAACCTCCGCCTCCTGGGTTCAGGCAATTCTCCTGCCTCAGCCTCCTGAGTAGCTGGGATTACAGGCACGTGCCACCATGCCCAGTTAATGTTTTGTATTTTTAGTAGAGACGGGGTTTCACCATGTTGACCAGGATGGTCTCGATCTCTTGACCTTGTGATCCACCCGCCTCGGCCTCCCAAAGTGCTGGGATTACAGGCTTGAGCCACCGCGCCCGGCTAAGACAGCAAATTATGACAGAAAACCAAATCATAACCTGTGAGATTCCCATCACTGGTCCCCCAGTTAGCATCCTCCTAGAATATCGAAGTCCTCACCCATAAAACCTTAAGCTGACAGTTGTATTCCTCTCCCACTCACCCTTCCAAACACAGGTTTTATTTTCTTATGTCTCCTATAGGATTATATAATATTCTACATTTGCTCTATGAATTTTATACACATCAAGCTAAAATCTGAAAGTTTTTTTAGCATTTCTACTGTGAAGCAGAAAACCAAAGCTTTCATTGGATGAGAAAAAATTATGTCTAACAGAAAATGTGGAAAAACATTTTTAAATGCCAACATCAGAATTTTTTTTTCCTTTTAGAATATTTTCCTGCTCTTGTACAACAATTGCTAACTACAGAGGAACGTGAGCAACAATTTGGTTCTGCTTGCTATTGCAAATGAAATGTGCCCACCCACAGGTACTTTTATTCTTTTTAAGTCAGAGTCCACTGCCATGATTCCAAAAAGCAACACATGGTATATTTGCTTTTGAAATTTATTTCAGGTGAGAGGACACTCACAGTCTAACAAAATAAACATAGAATTAAATCACATTCCCAAAGTCCAATTCTTCTTCCTAGTCAAGACAGGGTAAGATAGAGATACCAGACTTGGTCTGTATTAGTTTCTCCACATAGTCTACCCCTTTCTTCTTCTAACCCCCATCTACAACCCCAACAAATGAGAGCCATTTATAACAGTAAGACTAAATCTATTTCCCACAAAATGCCTGAGATGGATATAGCCAAGGCAGAAAGTATAGAAGGAGATTAGGAAATATAAGCAGTGTTTTTAATGATAAACTTCTATCTTTGTTTGAAGGAAAGGGGGCTTGATGGATCAATATGAAGAAGAAAAACAGAAAAGGGTTTAATTTACCTTGAAAATAACCACAATTCTATTTGTCCAGGCCCAGTGAATATTTGTGTCAAGCAATTTCATTCATTTCACAGTACCTAGCACATTGCTGACTGTGTGGTAAATATTAAATAAGTACTTGTTGGTTGATGAAACAGATACATGGAAATGCTGTATATACACAGGAAGCAGAAACTCAATGTGGTCAGGCAAATTTGAAAGCAAGGCAAGGTTTGGTTCTCTGTGTCAATATTTTCAAGTTACACACTGGGGAAACAAATGAAATAAAATTCTGCCACATTCATAGTTCAACATGTTGTTCCTCTTTGACTGCTAAAACTTTATATGTAAAAAAGGAAAGCTAGGATTAAGTAAAAATATTTTAAATTAAAGGTACACAAAATAATTAAAGATAAGTCATTTTATTGCTTAGTATTTCTTCTTGCATTTAAAAGGTGGCTTGCAAAGGTGGCTTACATTTGTAATAGCAATACACCACTTGAAATCTTAAACACATAAGCACCTAATTTGCTAGACTGAAGTTAGCCTTGAACTTTTAGTGATGCCATATGCTTTTAAATTAACCCTTCTAAACACTGTACAAATCTCATAACACAGACTGTGAGCTTATAACTGAATTAGGTTACTACTAAATACTCATCAGGCAAACTAAAGAAAATAAAGAAAACATGCATATTCTTACAGCTCCATGAAAGCCAAAATTAAAGATGGTATGATAAGAATTTGAGATTAAACAACTATAATTTGGATGTAAGATCTCCATGACTTACACATTAAGTTTAACTAAAATCTCTAAGGACCTTTTTCTTTGGAAAAGAATCATACATTTTAAAATAGCCTTTAATGAACAGTCTATTAAAATCACAATGGATCATAGCTGTCAACTTCAAATAGTGCCTTTCTTCTAGAGGGCTTAAGTTTACACACTGGTGCAACCCACAAATGCAGATGCTACAAAGGGAGCTATAAAGAAAAACAAATTTTATTCACAACCCTCTGCATACAAACTTTTCCTTCTGTAGACTTGTGTGGAGTTGAAAATAAAGGATGCTAATATGCACATTATGTAGCACATCAAAAAAAAAAAGAGAGAGAGAGAGAAAACACTTTAGTTGAGTGGAAATTCATCCATCTACTGAAAATCTGGGAGAATTCACATATACTGTACTCCAAATTTACCCAAGTGCAGAAAAAATATTATATGAAATGGAAAAATAATGAAATATTATTTAATCAACAGCTGATTACCTTTAAAATTTTGGGCTTCTTTTCCCTCTGGGGCCTCTTGTTTTCCTTTATAACCTAAAAAAAATCAAATTGCAAAATAAGCCTCTGTTTAAGAAATAAAATTAGCTCCCACATCCCCAAAATTTTTGACTAATTCTCTGTAAAACTATACCATTTAAAATCATCAACATGTTTGCTAGGCAGAACCTAAAGAGCTTATGTAAAATGTATACTTTAAAAGTCACTGAAAAAAAAATCTTGCATAAAGATGAAGTAGGGAAATACCCTTTTTTCCCCTTAAAGTCTGTCTTAATTAGCCTCTGCATTCTTCACAGCGAAGCCCACGAGGTAGCCATCTTGCTTGCTTCTGCAGAGGAAGCCTCTACAGTGGAACAGTTCTGCAAACTGCTTTTTGGTATTATTATCATGGTGTTTAAAGGCAGCCCTGGCCTGCCAGCACTGTAGACGTGCTGGGCATGCCTTTTGCAAAAACAGCCCCACAAAGAGTGCAGCCAATGGCAATGCAGAGCTTAGCAACTCCAAAGTGATCTTCTCAGCCTAGCCCTTCCTAGACAAAGGATCTCCTGTGCGGCTCGGCTCTCACCACAGGACACAGGCAGCCACAAGCTGCGACATGGAGTTCGCTGTAGAGGATCTGGTCGCGCCGAAATCACAGGAGGCTTCAGCAAAAACAATGCACACAAATCCCCCAGGTCACCACCATTGGATCGATGGCAGAGCCTCCCTGATTAGTAACCTCTTGGCGGCTCCGAGGGCAGGTCTGCATGGGGGAGGGGTGCGCTGCTCTGCCTCCAATGTACAGGAGACATAACCAAGCCTGGGGGGCATTTGGGCTTGCTGAAACTCTGGAAGGTATTGTGCATTTTTACTTTATAAGGCAAGGCTAAATATTGGCGATATTTAAGGCAGGGAGGTTATGTGAGGACAGTGTAGGCTCAGCTGTTGGGCTGCCTGTCTCATTCCTCGGGAACCACACCTCTTTGCAGCAGGCGCTTTGCCCAGAAACACAGTAATTTGATTTCTGTCAATAAATGTCCAATGACAATGGTGAATTAAAAAATAACAATAAAGCCACTGAAAAGGAAAAGGATGGGATGAGGACAAAAAAGAGGGGGAGGAGTTTTCAAAATACACTTGCCACCCTGAGTGACTAGAGAGAAAGGATTTTCTCTCTTGCTCTGGGCATTTCCGATGACCTTCATTTCCCAATAAAATTCCTTCCCTACCAGAAGGAAAATCTGGAGTCGTATCTTTGGGATAAAAGGACAACTTTGGCTCTTCTGTCTCCCAAGATCAACTGTCACTGAGCATCTATCCACCAACCTGCCAAGCAAGTCCCTATGTGGGGCCGGTCTGTGCACCAGACTTGCGGTCAGACAGAGCCACCCACTTCCTAGGGATCGGGACCTGAGCCAGGGGTAGAACAAGGCACCATCTCCCCACACACACCTGGACTGCCCCCACGCCCAGTGGGTGGTAGGCACTGGGACAGCTGGCACCACAGCTGGCACCTGCCAGACACTGAGAAAGGCAGGACCAGGAGCTGTGCCCCCCACCACCTCTCTTAGCTGCCTGGCATTGCAAGTGGCAGCAAAGCAGGGCAGCTGCAGTGAGCTGGCTGGTCTCAAGGTCACTGCCAAAATGCAGTGCAGAGGGCGGTCAAACTCCCATCACAGCCACCTTAACAGCTGCACAGATCTGGGGAAGACAGCCCTCGATCCAGCCTTGCAGGGCCAAAGTTTCAGCAGCACATTTGGGGGATTGGCAGGAGGGCCTCCTCGGCTGCTCAGCCAAAGATGGGTTTTCCACTTGCAGTTGGATTCAGAACAGATTCCCACAACAGAAATCAGGAACAGACTGAGGGCCGGAAGGCCTGCATTTCATCACCCTTAATTCCCAGCCTTTCAGTTTGCCACAAAAGCACGCTTTCCTTGTTGGAACGTGAAGTCCAGCATGCGTTGTTTTTCAACTTTTAAACTACCTCTCACAACCCACCCACCCCCCCAAATTTTTAACAAATTCATATAAGAAAAAAACCTACTGGCCAGGGATGGTGGCTCAAGCCTGTAATCCTAGCACTTTGGGAGGCTGAGGTGGCTGGATCACCTGAGGTAAGGAGTTCAAGACCAGCCTGGTCAACATGGTGAAACCACATCTCTACTAACATACAAAAATTATCCAGGCACAATGGCGGGTGCCTGCAATCCCAGCTACTCAGGAGGCTGAGACGGGAGAATCACTTGAACCCGGAAGATGCTGGTTGCAGTGAGCTGAGGTTGTGCCACTGCACTCTAGCCTGGGCAGCTGAGCAAGACTCCATCTCAAAAAAAAAAAAAAAAAAAACAAACCTACTGAGTATGGTATTCTTAACTCTTCCTTCAATGCTTGTAACAAAACCAATGGACTCTGACTTATGTATATCCACCAGTGCAACTTGGAACACACTAAGCCCACACTATCTCTGAGAAGTTCTATGTGAAGAATAAGCAGCATTGAAACAGGCAGAAAAATGATCAAATATAGTAAGATTTGAAAATGGGTACAAAACCTTTTAGCTGTACATACCCCCTTTATTGGTGATTTTTTTGTTTTTTGAGCTGGAATCTCTCTCTGTCACCCAGGCTGGAGCGAAGTATTGTGATCTTGGCTCACTGCAACCTCCGCCTCCCGGGGTCAAGTAATTCCCTGCCTCAGTGTCTCGAGTAGCTGGGATTGCAGGCCCCGCCACCACTCCTGGCTAAAAATACAAAAAATATTAGCCAGGAGTGGTGGCGGGGCCTGCAATCCCAGCTACTCCAGACACTGAGGCAGGGAATTACTTGACCCCGGGAGGCGGAGGTTGTAGTGAGCCAAGATCACAGTAGACATGGGATTTTACCATCTTGGCCAGGCTGGTCTTGACCTCCTGACCTTGTGATCCACCCGCCTGGGCCTCCCAAAGTGGTGGGATTACAGGCGTGAGCCATCCAGATGAGTTGTTTTTTTTTTTTTTTTTTTGAGACAGAGTCTGGAACTCTCGCCCTGGCTGGAGTGCAATTATGTCCACTCACTGGAACCTCTGCCTCCTGGGTTCAAGCGATTCTCCTGCCTCAGCCTCCCAAGCAGCTGGGATTACAACAGCTGCCTGCCACCATGACTAACTAAGTTTTTGTATTTTTAGTAGAGATGGGGTTTTACTATATTGGCCAGGCTAGTCTCAATCTCCTGACCTCGTGATCCACCCGCCTCAGCCTCCCAAAGTGCCGAGATTACAAGCATGAGGCACCGTGTCTGGCTTTTTTTGGTGATTTTTTAAAAATTGTGGTAAAATATACATAACACAAATTTATTATTTTAACTTTTTTTTTTTTTGAGATGGAGTTTTATTCTTGTCACCCAGGCTGGAATGCAATGGCGGATCTTGGCTCACTACAACCTCTGCCTCCTGGGTTCAAGTGATTCTCCTGCCTCAGCCTCCTGAGCAGCGGGATTACAGGCACCCACCACCACCCCCGGCTAATTTTTGTATTTTTAGTGGAGACAGGGTTTTGCCATTTTGGCCAGGTTGGTCTCGTACTCCTGACTTCAGGTGATCTGCCCACTTTGGCCTTCTAAAATGCTGAAATTACAGGCTGGGTAAGCCACTGCATCTGGCCTCATTTTAACAATTTTTAAGTGTATAGTTCAGTGACATTAAGTACATTCACAATGCTGTGCAACTATTACCTCTTGATTTCCAGAACTTTTCCTCCTTGTAAACAGAAACTCCATCCCCATTAAACAACAACTCCTCGTTTGCCTTCCCTAGCCCATACTAACTTCCATTCTACTTTCTGTCTTTAAAATGGACTACTCTAAGTACCTCCTATTAAGTGGAATCATATAGAATTTTTCTTTTCGTGTCTGTTAACTTCACTTGTTAATAGCATAATGTTTACAAGGTTAATCTGTGTTGCAGAATGTATCAAAATTTCATTCATTTTGAAGGCTGGACAATATTCCTTTGTATGTACATAACACATTTTGTTTATCCATTATTCTGTTGTTAGACATGGGTTGTTTCTACCTTTTGGCAACTGTGAATATTTCTTCTATGAATGTAGGTGTACAAGTAGGTATACAAGTAATATATACCTTGGAGTAGAAGTGCTGGATCATATGATAAGGCTATGTTTAACTTTTTGAGGAACTGCCAAATTTTTTCCATAGCAGCCACACCGTTTTACAATCCCATCAGCCATGCACAAGGATGGCCCTACATTTCTTGAAGTGCCTTGCATTTCAATTACACATTATGCCTCTTCTCTTGAATGATCGAATATAAATTTTAAAACATCAACATTTTTTCCAGGTTCATTGTTCAATATTTAGTAAAGTGGCCATGATATATAATTGTATAATTTAAATCAGTCAGCCAGGTGCAATGGCTCAAGCCTGTAATCCTAGCATTTTGGGACGCTGAGGTGGGTGGATCACTTCAGGTCAGGAGTTCGAGACCGGCCTGGCCAACATGGTGAAACCCAGTCTCTACTAAAAATACAAAAATTAGCCAGGTGTGGTGGCACACACCTATAGTCCTAGCTATTATGGAGGCTGAGGCAAGAGGATTGCTTGAACCTGGGAAGTGGAGGTTGTGCAGTGAACAGAGATTTGTGCCACTGCACTCCAGCCTGGGTGACAGAGCAAGACTCCACCTCAAAAAAAAAAAAAAAAAAAAAAAAAAAAAA